ATTTATTCGAATTAACCTTCGTCGACCAACGTGACCTATGTATCTGGTTTCACAATCACTGCGAGAGATTTGGTAAACTAAATTATATGTATGTATAAATAAATAAATAAATTTTCATTCTCACATAAGTAATTTGACATGAGAGAAGCCAGTTTACAAGCATCATCACATTGATATATGTCGAAAACTCTACAAGATTTTACGGGTCCTGAACGGTACAGAGGGGAGGTCGTTTAACTCCATCAAAAACATCAGATCATGGTTACGGTACAAAGAAAATACCACTTTCAGCATATGCAGTGCGTCAAAGTGAAGATAATAAAAATTCCCACTCCCGTATAATGGAATTAACATGACAGATACCAGTTCACAAGCCCCGTCAAAATGATGATTTTGAAAGTTTGTAGAATAGTGCCGAAAACTGATGTGCATTTGTGAACTTCAGGTATCGTTCATATTAGCGTAAGCAGCATCACTCAGGAAGTGTATTCGATGCATGGTAACTTTTACTTAGGAAGATCACTCGATACAGAGTGCTGTAGAACATGTAGTGTGGAATTACTGCAGATAAGTCATATTCCTAGCCAGTAGGTATATTGGTCTGTCGTTTGGTCATTTGTTCAGAATAGTTGTGCCACTATGGCCGTTGGGAAACTTTAGACGGTTCGTCGCAAGAAGAATCCTGACCAGCTGATGAGTTGATTGTGAAGATGTTCCAGAAACGCGGAAGATTATGAGCAGTTCAGTAATTCATGGAGTTAACCATCAGGTATTATTTCCACTTAGTAGATATGTCCAGATTGAAATTCAGCATTGAACGTCGTCTTCGAGCTGTTGCTGTAAAGTAAAAAAGAAGGAAGAAGCACGGGTAGATGTGGGAAAGGGAATTACCACGCAGACCAGCTTGGAAAAAGGAGAAGTTCCCATACCTTTAGACCTATCCGAGCTCTATGTACACTTTCATTTGTCAACTAGCTTGCCGTACGAATTTCTTCCGAAAGCCTACTCCTAATGTGTGAGAATTTATTGAGGAAGAAGTTGTCTCGCAACCTCGTCGTACAACACTCAGTTTCAACCAATACTTTGTGGTTGCGTATATCTTACGCAGACGTTACAATTAGCTTGGTTTGCGAACCATGAGGGTGCGAGTGATGATGAAGTAACTTATAATTAAATATAAGGTTCAGTTTGTGCCTCCTCTTCCAGGGTGGTTCTAACCCCAACGTGTCACATCTAGACGTGTAGTCTAGATTACATCCAGTTCCTAATGTTCTGAAGGTGAAGTAAGGTTGTACCCCTTCAACTTTCACTTTGTCACTTCCACGGAGGCCAATGAGAATAAACGGGCAATATTCTAAAAGTGGGCGAATGCACACTTTATAGAGTAGAACCCGTGATTCAGCGCCACAGAAGTTACGAATAATACATCCCAAGAGCTTGCGTGACCTGGATCTGATATATGCTGTTTGTTCCGGGAATGTCAAGTCTCTGCAATGCCTGATGCCAAGATCTAGCACAGGAGCTAGTCTGGGTAGGTGTTTTCCGCATACCTCGAGGGTCAGGTCATGATTGTCGTTGCCCATAGTAAGCCAACCGCATTTGTCAAGGTGCGACTCAGCACGCCATGATGCAAGTTTGCTTAGTTCCTGCCGGGCAGTGCCCAGGGTATTACGTAGTTCATGAGAGTGACAAGTGTACACAACCCTCAAGTCATCGGCGAATAGGGATGTTTTGCTTTGATTGAAGCAGTTACACACACTGTTGATATAGATTATGAACAACTAGGGTCCTTGTCGCATCAGCAGGATCTTTCAACCTACAAACTTGTTCTTGAGCGGGTTTATTGGCCCCAGCCTTATTGCGATTTCTTCGTAACGTGCCTGAGTTCGCTGTGTTGCATAGAAACACGGTAGAGACTGAATTCTGTCTCAAGCTTGTGAACACCATTTCTATTAGTAGCAGATTTTTCATCGATAACAGCTGTTTTACTACTACTGCTTCCAGCATTTTTCCTTCGGCTCCTTATGAATTTATTTATGAAGTTAGGTGGGCTTTCTTGATGCGTCTAATTTCTTTTCTTGGATTTTCTGGCCCGCTTATAAAGAAACTGAAATGGAATCATAATCAACCGGTGTCCAAGTTTTACTCCTATATGAATAATCCCTTAAACAGCTACATGCACCGGTGACTCAGTTCGCAAAATTCGGAGCTTGCTACGACACAAGATGAAAGGCTGGAGTCCTTTCCCTCACTTCGACACTCTGAAGGTTAAACGTACTGCAAGTTGCTGGAAATTGATACGTAGCTACTATCCATTGGTTTTGAATGCGCAATGGAACACCCAAAGAGGTTGAAATGTACCGTTGTATCCCTACCGTAATTGAAGAGGCAGTAACATGAGCCTAACTAAATACAATGATGAAAAGCAGGAGCTGCAGGGGAATATTGTTCTGGAGTCTTCAACCAGAAACATTCGATTGACATCAATTTTACATCGGAAGCACTGACATCCTACAGGATAGACTCTGTGGACACGAACGACGTACTCAGGAAATTAAGTACTCCAGATAAAAAGGTATAGGTATAGGATTAGCTGCAGCCAAGTCCACTCAGAGGTCTTGCACCGTGGGGAAATGGCCCATCGGCTAGATTATTTGAACTGTTTTACAGTGAACCCACATTCCACCATGACTGGAAAGACGGGAAAGTGAGAGCAACCTACAAGACAGGCTATGAGCAGCACCTGTGATATTTCGGAACGATAGGCTTGACCGGTGTAGGCTGGCTGCCTGAGTGCGGTATTCAAAGTGAGGTCTAACGTAAGTGGAACTGAGTATTCTGAACATATCGTGATCAAAATTTTGAAAGCTCCACGGATGGACCATAACACGCAGAAGCCCTTTGTTGTAGCTGCATTTCGGTTTGTCGAGGTTTTCAAACCATGACTAGTGATGACACCTGAGTCCTTCAGTTCAAAGGCTGAGAGTGGTGATGTACCATCAACGGAACACTGGAAACAGATGCTATGATCGATGTTCATCACTGCACTTTTGTTAGGGTTGATTTGCAGACACCAACGTTTCTGCCAACCTACCACCTAAATGCGCTTGAAGTGCGTACCTATCCATATGACTGCATATGGCTCTCCAAATCTTCATATCATCGGCAAATAGCAGTACCGAAGAGTTGACCACTTTTGGTAATTTGCTGATATACAATGAGAAAAGCGGTGGACCTATGATTGTTCCTCGAGGAACTCCGCTAACCACAGGTTTCCATCCGACGGTATCCCACTTACCCTCGCTCTTTGCCTTCTATCTTACAGAAAGTCCATAGTCCAGGCTCTCAATGAAGCACCAAACCCGAAGAAGGAGAGCTTTTCCAGCAATAGCACACGTTATACTTTGTCGAGTGTCTTACTAAAGTCTATCAACATGTATCCACTGGTGGCTTGCGGTCACGGGCTGCAACCCATTACTTCCTTGTGATAAGAGGGTTCTTGAAGCAGCAGTGTCCAGCACGAAAACCATGCTGTTGTGATGCCGGAAGACTTGTTGATTCAACATGTTTAAGTGCCTTATCGCGAAGTATTTTTTCTAAAATCTTAATAACTATGCCGGCTAGACTCACAGGGCGATAGTTGGACACCGAATGGCGACTCCTGGTCTTAAAAGCTGGTCCGATTTTGGCATCTTTCCAGGATCTTGGGTGACGAGTCTGAGTTAGGGACATATTGAAAAGATCCGTGAGTGACTCAGCAATAATGCCCGGTAGCGAAGATAGCAGTCTGGGATGTAACTCATCAGGACCTGGGGATTTTCCGGGACCAAGATTAATGAGCAACTGCAAGACTCTTTCACTTGTTATGAACACTGTATTCATTGGTGGGGGAGTGGTGGCACCACCATTAAGCAATTCGCTGTCATAATCCGCAGAGAAGACTTCACTGAAGTAATCCAATGGACATTTAGCTTTGGACAGATTCCATTCCGCCAGATTATCGGACTTTTCTTCCGTCACCAGAGAGGGCACTTCACATTTTCCTTCCGTCCTCCTTCCGGCGAATGCGAACGGTCTTTCAAGACAATTTTGGTAATCTCCCATAAGCTGTTTCTCGCAGAACATTCGGGACTTTGCAATCGAAGTTTTGCAGAGATTACAGACTTTACAGTACCCAGTCTTAAATGTTTCCAGTCCAGGTCCTAGAAATGAGTCCCATAAGCGTTTCCTTGGTTTTCTAGCATCTTTATTAAACCACGGAGGGCGATGTGAGAATCGTCGTGGAGTCAAACATGGCATAGAGGTCGTCGTTACCTCTTCAGATGGGGTCTCAAACCTGTTTTATGCGTTGTGATTCCATGATTCCTTGTCGACGGTCCAACTCTTACTGATTGTTCAGTCCCTTGTGCTTGAAATGCCTGCGCGCTATACATTAGGTCTGGGGGAGGCGGTCATAATGAAACTCATTAGTCTGAAAACCGAACGTTAGCACTACATGATCGCTGTTAGTTAATGGAGGGAAGTGTCGTAGGTCCAAAATGTCCTCAAATTAGTGGGTTAAAACTAAATCTTATAACGATGGCCTGTGTTCAGAATCGCAACGTGTTGCATATGTTACATCTTGAACCAAAGCAGATTCTAACACGGTCAAAAGTAAGTCATTTTCGAAAAAACTGCACGATGCTGAGACTGTTAGCTCCGTCCGGTTCATGTGTGGAGCATTCAGATCCCCAACCCTTAGGCATCTGTTGCTTCTACTCCAGCTACGTATATGAGCTATCACGAAGTCATTTGGAGGGCAGGATGGACTACGGTAAATGACCCTGGTTGTACAGAAACCTTGCTTTGACTTCAGCTCTCAACTGGCCACTTCACACGTACCTCACTGATGTACTCAAAAGCATATCCACAGAAGATATTATTATGTCGCATGAAAATAACTGTAATGTCTTCCATCTTAACATGACTGAGAGCATATGCAGTCATTTTTTGTAAAACAGGGAAGATAAACATCAAAAATGTATTGAATGCAGACTATGGATATACCTTTCACCCACTTTCTTGATTATTCAAGGTCAACCTTCCAAGTGTGTCAATTTTCGTGAGTTAGTAAGTTGTGGTTTTTAGCTTCTCTGTGTTTACTGTTTGTTTAGTGATCGATAACGATCCGTTTTTAAAATCACTTCAACATCGCTTTTAGACTTCTACAAACACTTAAATGTAGCCTTGATAGTTTTATCTGGAAATTTGCACATAAAACTATCGTGGTCAAATCAGTACTAAAATTTGAATCTCTATTCAGAAAATAATGTAACAAATACATAGTTATGAATGACCCTGGAATATTTCTTGTTATATGTAAACTTATGAGGGTAAAAAGAGGTTTTTTCAGACGATTAAAGGTTTCTAGATCTCTCAATATTTTCTCAAGGTAAACTCAAGGTTCATGTAAGCAATATAGTTGAGAATGAGAAACTGAACGAGCAACTTTCTAGCGTTTCGCCTCGGAATATCGTTATCCTGCGCTTCCTCCTCTTTCTTCATCGTTTTACCTCTCTTTTATTGCGTCATCTTTTTCTTTCGGCTCCTCATCTTTCATACTGTAGGAAACGAAGAGACTGAGACGAAGGAAGGAATGTTCATCATTGACATCTTGTAAAATATACTCTGATGACTATAGTCATAGTCGTGCACTTCCCACTCAGACACTCATTTGCGCAATGTGTTTCATTTCCTCTGCTACTTCTATCTTGATTTGCTCTTAATTCTCCCACATTGTCAGTTACGTTTCTCTGGCCAGAATCTTTACCCGTTGCTGATAATTTCCTGTGATTTCTGCTCCCTTCTCAATACTAAATACTTATGTGCATTCTGATCAGCTGCTTTAACTACAGTACTACTAACAATTTTCGTTGATATCCCTTCAATGTTGCATTCATAAAGCATCGGAGCTTTTTGTATTCATTCGAAGGTATGCCTTTTTGGTGTATCTGGAAGTTCGCAAAGCAGTAGCATGTCCTGTATAAGCACGTCCTAGTAAAAAATCACAGCTTTTATTACTGAACAACGGTTGGATATTAAAGGATAGGCAAAGACGTCCTGAGTAAGTCGATTAGTTTATTAATGTGGATAGACGCTATAAAATGTCATTCGGGGTGTCTTCTTTAGACTGCAGAATAGCATTATTTGTGGCTAACGCAAATGTCAAGTGTACCACTAATATTTACTTTGGTGCCGCAGATGAGAAGTAAAACCTGGTAGAAACAGAAGATATATTGCGAAAATTAAAAAAAACTAACAAATTTTCTGTTTTGACGATTCTTTCCTCTCAGTCCCCCAGTACTTCGTTGCTGCTTTCTTTCACCAAGTAAAACAGGTAAACCTCCCTTGATTGCCATTCTTTTAACTCCACACTGGTAAAGACGTCACTTGAAGTTCGTGTACAGTTTTCGTTGGTGTGTCTTCGTTTTCACATTCTGCCACCATCTTTTCCTGTAGGGTTATGAAACGGTGCTTTTGCTTATTTCCGATTCTTATTCCAAAGGTCCATTAAACTTAAACTTTTCATTTTCGGGGAATTATTAATTGCTTACAGGAAATAAAATTGATTAAGGGTAGCTACAAATTACCTCTAACAGTCATCTCAACATGAGGCTGTAGTTTGAAGTGGGTTTGTCCTGGCTCACCCCTTCATATTAGTTTGGAAAAGAGGTTAGGTAGTCTACGAAGCACTTACAGGAGAACAAAAGGTTTTGAAGCTTTTGAACTGTAATCGCATATTGACGGATTGTCGTTGTACAAATATCCTGCTGAATGATTGTGGTCTTTTCTGGGTCAAATTACACATCTCATCATTGCCGATGACGATGATACTTTTGTGCTATAGAGCACACCTTGTGATCATGTCTAGATGGTTTCCAATGGAGACTCTGTTGACTTCATGGTTGGGTAGTTGAAAAACCACTCAGGTGTAAGGAGTGTCAACATGAAGCGTACAAATTTTGAATTATTTGCGAACTGGTCATTCTGTTTAAGGTGTACTGGTACGTGAAAATCAGCCAGCCAGATTTGAGTGACCTGGACAGTTTTGGCTGTGCAAGTCGAACCCGTCTAGGTACAACGGTATCAAATGAGCAAAACGGCTGACTAGTGTTTATACCATTCTCATGTGGTTGGCGAAATTGAAAGATCAGTTTGAGTGGTCTATAACCACTCAAGTCGTCCATTAACATATCGTCATGCTTACTTAATTAATGTGTACGGGGCTTCACTAAACCAGACAATATCACGCAATAGCCTGATAAGGTGTTTACGATCCTGAAACATCTATGGTTTCTTCCACCTCTGCAGCCATTAATAACTGTTCGGGTTAAACGAATTTCGTCTCTGGTTCTTTAAAGCTGTGCTTCAAACTGCATATCGGAGCTTTCTGTGTCCAGAACTTTCATGAAATTGGGCGCTGGGTTTCACTAATTGAAGCCTTGTGGCTTCTTGATTTGTAGTTGCATATTGTATTCATGAGAATAGTATAAAAGATTGAAGTCGGTTTATTCGCTTAACCCCTCATGTTTATTGTGATAAGTAAGTGAAATTCATCGTGCGACGTTCTGGAGTTTCCTCATCTATTTCTCCTAATATTGTGACTGTAAATGTAGTATATAGTTCTGAAGCAGACAGTGCACCACTCAACTACATAAGGTTGACAGTTGTCTGCACACTATTTGACGGAATATTGCAGTACACATCTAAGCAACGATATAATACGCTGTCGTGACCTTATAATCTTTACTTAAGCATTTATTGACTACAGTTTGGATGAGGTGAATGATCGTTTACACCTCATAGTGCATAGTCTGCCTTTGAAATTCAGACACTTATATATGGTTGTAGCAACAGGCCTCAATGTACAGATAAGAAGGCTAAAACGGGCCGTAACGAAACTCATCAGCAATTCTAGAATGTCAACTGGGCTAGCCGATGGTGGTGACTGTTTGTGTCAACGAAGATTAGAAAACAGCTGTTTGTAAACCAAATGAATTTTAGACATAAGGAATGCAACGTACAACCTAGCTACCAAGAATCTCCGAGTGACTGCAGACTCAGCAAATCATATTCCTTTCACTTGTCTCTGCAGTAGGTGAGTGAAGGATTTCTGTCACTTCTTATTTGTGTACTTGAATAGGGTTTGTTCGAGGAGATATATTTTCATGCTTAACTGGACGTAAGTAGACCACGACTTGCATGCATCCTAACAGTCAGAAGGCACAGCGATTAGTAGAGGCAGCCTATATTCAGACTGAAATAACGTTGTCCTTATCGTTGTGGGCTTAACATGAAAATATAGACTTTAATGTTAGAATGTGTGACAGCTAGCTTCTATGGTTTTATGCTGTAGGTGATATGGCTGAGGATCGATCGGAGTAGCGCAGGCGCGTTTACGCCCCATTTTGATCTTGACAGTCATACAATATTTCTGTACTTGCCTTCACCCTCTTTCTTTTTGTTGTACAGCTGTCAATTAGTTTTGTTAGCAGTTTTCAAACTTCTTCTTTTTTCTTGTTCCCATATTTCTTAAACATCTTGAAGTGAGCTGTAAAACCGATTTCTGAAGCTCACAGTGGTCTTAAATTTCAAAAAAACTGTTGCTGTCCGCATTCAGTGAATATAAAATTACCTTACAATAATTTGTTTAAGTTATTATTGCAAGTCGTATTCATCTCAACTTTTGTTTACCTTGCCTTAGTGTTTCTATCTCACGTTGTCTTGTTAACAGTCGGTCAACTACCTACTTTTTCTACTTCAACTTGTTTTGGCTACAAAGCTAATGGTTTAAATTCTGTACTATGACTTACGTTTTTCTCACATTTTAGTCGTTTCGTGGAATTATTTTTTGCAGGCAGTGAAATAAGCAGGTTATAAAGGAATGAAGTGGAACTAAACCGATCAATATTTAGAATAAAACATTTAATCAATTGGTTAACGTAAATTCACTCCTCATTTCACACTAACTGATCGGTTGACCATGAATTTTTATATTTCAGTGGTACAAAACTAAATAACCTCCATATTCATTGAGTCAAGTTTCCAGCATTCCCCTCAGTGAGCTGGACAGATGAGAGAAATTTGTTTTTAAAATTCCAAGTGATCGATTTCAAGCACTTTCTACACTATTTAAAAAACCTTGCTAACAGAGATAATATACTTTTACCTATGTTGCTAAGACTGTGATTGCCAAATTATTATGATATATGAGAGACTGTTTCACATTAATTCAACCATCAGAATCTGTTTTGTGGTAACTTATCTTTCCACTCTTTACAGTAAATCATGGACATAAGTGATAGAGATGCGGAATGACCTAGAAATGTAGTTCAACGGTAAGACATGTCACAATTTACTCTGTAACGAGGCATTCACTAGTTTTAATCTTACTATCTTATTCCGAATTCATCACTAAACACGTTTGATATGTTTGCATGTATTGCAGATTGGCAGGAATTAGGTACTCTTAATTCAATTGTAGCTGCCAAAAGTGCGTATTTTAATTGTCTAGAATAAGTAGGTTGTTTTTATTCGCTTTTGATTAGCGAAACTGTCAGCTGTCATGTTCACGTTTCTCCTAATAAAATAAAAAAATATCAACCACATTACATCATTCTATTTCTCTAGGCTGTCATCAGCTTGAAAAATGTAAGCAACTTAATATGCAACTAAAATAGATGTACAATATACTTAAATCTTCATCAGGAAGTCAATTGCTGGATAAATTTAAGATGTTAAAAGTGAACAAAGTTGAAATTAACAGGAATGAAAGTGACTGGGAAAGCGTATTTCGGTATTTTTCATTTTTCGATGTGAACCGATGGGAAATAAAAATCTCAAAGACAATGAATACATGGTGCCTTTGCGGCTAAATAAGGATTTGGGTGTCGTGACATTGGTCAAGCAAGAATACTTTACTAAAATGAAGACGATCCATGATAAGGGTCTGAGATTCAAAGTTGACTGTTACTATAACGATATAACGAACGAAATGGAAACACGAGTCACTGAACAGCTCAAAGAAGAAGTTGATAGGTAGCATTACATTCAACTTTCTGAAGTCTTGAGGGACTCATCTACCGTATATGTATGGTCTTCTAAAGATACACAAAAGGAATTTTCCAATCAAAGCAATACTTTCAATGATGAACTCAACTAACCATGAACCTGTCCGTCAGCATTTCACCAAATGAACTCTTAACGATACATTTCAGTTTAATGAACTGCTAAGTCAATTAAAATACCTCTAAAAAGTTTATGACCACTTTTGATATAGCTGTTTTATTGATGAAGATACCTCTTCAAAAAGCTATGGAAGTTATCTCCTAACATACTAATTTACTTCATTTACCGAAATCTGAATTCAGGTAGCTCTTAATGACGTGTACCAGTCGTGCTCATATTCACCTTTATTACATCCAATTCCCTTAAATCAACAGGGTAGCCATTAGCAGTTGACTGGTTCCTGCATTGGCACATGTACTCATGTTTTATCTCGAACCAATGAAGCTGAAATTTGCAATCAGAGAAGCGAAATCATACTACAAATATGTAGGTGGTAAATTTTTTTATCCAACAGTTTACATGATGCATCTCAGTTGCTTAAATGCTTCGATAATGCACGCAGGAACATTGATTTCAGAATTAAGCATGAAGATGATACGCTCAAAAGGTTAATTCGCAAAAAGAATAATTTAGAAGATAAACTATTGATAATCGAAATATCTGACAGAAAATGGCCATCCACAAGGATTTATTAACAAATAATGTAGAATTGAATACAAAATTTGCGGAAACTCAGTGTAAAGCTGGTATACAGAGGCAGGGGATAGAACAATAAAAAATGCAATAAAAAATGTATCCGGAAGCCAAAATAATCTCTTGTTTTTGAACGGATTGGTCACTGGTGCAGTAAAAGAATTAGCAGGCACCCCTCTAATGCTACTTCCAATTGCATATACTAATTCGTGCATATCTGTCAAAGCAAATATATCGAAACGACAGAAAGGATGATTTACCTTAGGTCTTTTAACACAGTTTGAAATCATTAGTGCCTTTCATGAATTTAGGGAGTATAATTAGAAGACAAAAAAGAAGAATCAGCTATATCACTCTTACTTTTGTTCTCATCTTTCTTAATTTTGATCTCCTATTATCTTTATTGTTGTATGTGTCTTAGCACTCTTCGGTTTAATATTAACCGACTTAAGGAGTAAATGTGTTATCAGATTGTTCGAAATTTATTGCACAAATGCATCAAATTGTTCAGATAAACTTCGTCTTCTTACTAAACTGTCTTTGAACGGTATCAAAAGCCTATGACTTGGAGGATTCAGCAGTCTGACCAACTTGATTACTAAACACGTAATAGATACAGGACACCAGACTGAGTCCTTAAAATTTTGAAAGCAGGACAACTCTAATTTTTCTGTTTCACTGAAGATTTCGAAATGGAAAGGCTAAGACCAGACTTCTGTGTCGGAGAAGAAGTGGTCGTTAACCTACCCTTATCTTGATAAATTACGTACAAATACCTGTTATATTCAATTGCGTCATCTCATATTATCATCGTTATTATCGACTAATTTCTTAACTCTCAATGAGCTTTGATTTCATCTCACTGATTTTCTTCTAACATACTTTGTTACTGATTTTCTATGATTAACTCATCTGTTCGTTGAATCTACTTATGTAATCCACTTTTGAAATTCTGCCTATTCTTTTTGCAGTTCATTTTTATTTCGGTTTGATGAGAATGTTTTAATAAATCACATTGAAAAATGTAAAATACTATAATGGATTATTGTCTTCTTTTCCTTTCATTTTTTTCACTTGTTTTTATTATTTACTCATGTGTTATGTTTTGAATTTTCTCGACATTTGCTTAATACTTCATTTTCTTCTAGAACCGGATATATTTCATACTAATATTTTAATCCTGGCGCTGGTGGTCATTATTCTTAGATTTTTCATTACCTAGGAGTAGATCATCGATTTGAACTCAACGCCGTCTTCAGCTCGGACAGTCAACTAGATTACCTTGCACTCGATTACACAAACGTGTGCTGGGTAACTGAACTGCTGGCATAATAAAGAATTTTAGAGATCTGAATGTGGTTTTATCAAAACATATCAGATCAGCGTATTTATGTATGTTAATTATTTCCCATACACAGAGGTAGTGTGTTAAGAATATGGATTCAGTGACTAGCATGTTTTCTTTAAGAACTTCATAAAGAAGAATGAAATTCATTACTTTTTACCGCATAAGGTACTGATGAAATATGATGTTGTTCATCGTAGACTGTAAATTAGTTTTGTGAATATCTCTTTCTTATATGGAAGAAAAGCACGTTCATGGCTTTAATGTGAGAAGATAACTGAAATTATACTTGGTTGGTCACAAGACACATCTTGTTCATCATTTAGAAATAAATGTAAATAGATTATCAAGAGCTTCTGATAGCATTTTGTGAAACCTAGAAATGCTGAGTAGGAAATTTGTTCACCGAGGTCGCATTCGTTAAACCAATAAAATGAGAAACCTGCAAGTGAGATATAAAGTTTCAAGGACACCTCAACACTGTCAAATATTTAAGAGTATTCTGAGTGCTAAAAATATTGTCACTTATCCTGTGAATCTTAAGGATTTTGGATGATACAATAATCAGTACATTCAGAGATACATGAATGTGTAACCAACTGGCTGAAAGTTAGGTCCCTACACTAGTAAGTCATATTTCTGCAGTTATCATCAAGCCTACCTATCTCAAACCCCTGAAATATAACCACAATCAGCACTCCAAGCATCTTGCAGAAAATTCGTACGTTCATTTTCCACATGAACTCAGTGTACTGTATCGTTATATCACCTCTTATCTTCTTATCACGTACACAAATCATAAGTTATAACTTTACGTAAGTTCTTAACAAAGTTTATTTTCAGTATTTCCCTATATTTCAATAAATGGATCTTTCTAGTCCTTAACCTGTCGATTTTTAAACTGATAACATAGCGATAGTAGGTTAGCAAATACAGAGATTACTGAAGGTAAATTCGTTGCCTGAAGTCTATCATATTTGATGTTTGAATACGAATATTCAAATTTCCTAAAACTAAAAGGTCTCTTCGACGGCAAACGAGCTCAGTGATTTTCCACATTACTCTGTTAAGTTTGTTTTTGGAAAAATTGAGAGTCGGTTTCTATATAGCAGTATAAAACATTACTAATTTCTGAAAAATTACTGGAAATTTTTTTGTCATAATCATACTGGAAATATATTGGACGTTAGGTATTGTTTACTTGAACCACACTGAGATGTGGTTCAAACTTCATACTCACTGTACAACCTTTCAAACAACGGACGATATGAATTCCCAGACGATTAAAACTCAGTCGCTGAATGCAAGTGTGAGATAGATAAAAACGAACTCAGGTAGAGTATCAAGTCAACTGAAACTGTAAATATTTTCTCAGTGTCTCCAGAAAAATATGACTTCAATTCATCTTCTATAAAATATTCATAAATTCACCTTCAAATTTTGTCATCGTATCCTAAATTCTACTTTAAATCGAATTCCAGTAAGCTCTATACTCAAGTCCAGTTTCCAAATATTCTTTGTTAAACAAATGATCTAATTATCCTATCCTTAGAACATTTTGAAAACTTTAAATCTACCTTAATAGACTGTACCCACCAGTTTCTGAACATGCAGCCGAAATAACTCAGACCATATCAGCGAACTTAAGTAATTAACATACAGTGAAGAAATTATAGCAACTAGTTTGGATAAAGGTGTCGCTGTAGTACTAAATATCAGGAATGATTGTATTGAGGACATTTATAAACTTCTTTCAGATGAAATCAGATTCACCAAGCCAAACGAAAAGAATAGAACTCAAGTAATTCAACGTCACTTTACATAAACTCTCGAATGAGTAGGTTAGCCATCGGTCCCAAGCTATATGAAAGACTGCGACTTTCTGGATCGTCTTTACAGACCATCTAAAACTCACAAACCGGACAGATCACTGTACCGCATTCCAGATTATGTCTGGGCCACCCTATCACTTCATATTAAATGACTGGCTTATATACTGGAGCTCATGAGGAGGCAAATTTCTTACTAGTTTTGTCCATTCCACTAGTGAAAGTATTTTCAAAGGTAACTTTCTGTTATTATTCGATTTACAAGTGTTCCGCTAGTGGAAACTTTCGTGTATGACAATATTGGATTTCATGCTATCGATACCGACAGAGTATCTCTGAGAACTATTATTAAGATGTAATTCTGATATGCAAGTCTGCTTCGACAACGTCTACTTTCAAGAAGATGAAGTCACGATTGGGTCCCCACTTGACCGGATTTTGGTAGATATAATTTTCTTCAAACTCTTAATAACTATACTAGAACCAATCATCGACTACTTCCACTTATACAGATATGTTGATGGAATATTTGTCATCTGTGACAAAGATTCTTATTTACTAACCGCAATCTGTGCTTCCAGTCAGGGTCATTCGTTTATCGGTTTTACGATAGAAGTCAAATAGCATTCAAAAAATCCCATCTCCGTACCTTTCACTACCAAAGGGTAAGAATGGACCTTCTAAAAGATTTATTTATCTAAAAATCATATGAAATGAACAAGTGATCGGTTTTTGTAGTTGAGTTCCTGTTGCCTGGAAATTAAATTTCATTCATTCTCTTTCATCTTGAATTTGGGAAATTCGTACATCTGACAGACTGAAGGAAAAACCAGAATTCTGGAGACTGATATTCATGAAAAACAGGTATCCGAAAGAAATGTAGGTAAAAGTACGCGCCAAAAATATCCGCTATACATATTCTAGAGTAGATAGAAAGAAACTGTTTTTGAATTCATAATTCAACAATAGGACCGAAAACTGCTTTCTAAAACGTCGACTGAAGAAAACTGTTTAGATAACATTCTGTACCATAAATCTGTTAATCACCTATATTAGTCTTTCAGTGGTGATTACCTGGGTGGAGAACAAACTATTACTTTCAGCTGCCTCATTGTACATATATTATCCAATTTGCTCATGTGAAGCAGGATGTACAGACCGTGCGCTGAAGTGAATCATTCAACGTCAACCCAAACGCCTTCCGACTTGGGTCAGTAAAGATAAAATCATATTAATCAGAAGTTCCATCATGCAACACCTAACTGACAGTTAACGTACAGTTTCAGAAACCTCACTTGATACAGAAGCTTTCAAAAGATGTGAGTAAACATCTAGTATGTACTGCTGTAGCTCTAGTAATATGGTACTGAAAGCGAAAATTGTGTGTTAAAAAGCACGTTTTTTTCTCACTTCATTCATTCATTTAGTGACATTGTATATAATTGAACCTAACCAACCATCTTTGTCTTTTATGCTTCAAGTTATCTATCGATTAACAAACTTTGATGTTTTTCACAATGGATTATGCAGATTAATTAATTAATTAGAGGAGATTGCATAGCTTTGGAAAATAATTTCACCAACAAAAAACCTGTTTATGGAAATCTTTCTTCGTTTAAGATAGAGTTGTTTTTTTTTAATGATAGCTATGAGTGTTTTCTTTCCAAGGTATTTCTACTTTTGAGCAACTAATCGTATTTATGTATGGCGTGATATCTCTTACATGTTTATAAACTGATTACAATTCAAAAAAATTTTCTCTTTGTGTTCTTTAAATATGAAGGCCTTGAGATAGTAACAATCATAACTACTTCATAATTAAGCCAGATATGTCTACTAGTATTTTATGTTGTATTTATGGTGCTATATAATGATAAAGTTCTACTTATCTAAGTATTCAACATTCAAAAACAACAGAGAGTTGATATACTCATTTAAAACTAGAAATTGTATTAATTATCATAGTTTTTAATGACTAAATTCTCATCTGTTTTTTAAAAATTTCTTTTTAGAATGCATTATATTCAAGTGTTTTTCTGACTGGATTATTACATATACACTTTATGGTGGTGTGAAGAATTACATTGTTCTTTCTGTTTATAATGAAAGGTAAAAATTGTTCACTGAATTATGGCTGTACATATCGATCTAACAGCACTCCTCATATTCACAGTAATGGTAATAATGAAAGCGTTAAAAAGTCATCAACTACAGATAATGAACTGATGAAGTTGCGATTACGTAGAATAACAGATATTTACATTTATTGTATGCTGTTAGGATGTATCTTTATACTTATTTTTGTATTTTCTCAACCATTTACAGAAAAATATTTAATTCGTTTAATTTTTGGTGAATCTTCAAATTATTGTAATTACACTTACATACCTTCAATAAATAATTATCGTCGTCCATATAAGGTGTATAATTGAAATGACTGTCAATATTGTTTTTATCATTAATAATTTTGGCATTCTTGTTAAGCTTTTCTTATCAATTGTTTGCAATACTTTTTCAAGTGTATGATAACTTATTTCTCCATTATGTTACTCACTATGAAGTAATGACAATGTTGAGCAGCAGTATTTTCTTAGTAATTTTCTTCATGTATATGTACAATTACTTGAGAGTGTCATATCTGTATCTCCCCTTTTTTCGTTTGTTTTTATAACTTTATGTTAATCTGACCTTCAGATTCTCTGTATCACATGATAATGATGACCTTCGATATGTTCACTAAGGCGATAGAATATTGACATTTTATATTTTATCAGGTAAATGGTAAAATTTGGTATTTTTGGACTATCTTGTGTGATTTAGTGCGAAATACCCAAACTCTAATCTTATGAAAGTTGATGCAAATGGAAGTTTACATTTATAACCTAGTCGCTGTATCATATTTGTAAGGTTTAGAAAAATCTTGTTCAGTTCTCGGGCGGTAAAACCAAGTTAACCAGTGATTGTACCGTTATGCAATATCTGCAATATCTGAAGTGTATTACGCAATTATAACCACTCAAAACAAACTCAGCGAGTCCCTATCCTTACATATTTGTTGTTTCATCTGGCTGATCATTATGTAGTATGAAACTTCTTAGCTAGGTATTTTTGTTTTGATGAAATCCTATCTACACCCAATAGTAAGAAACGGCAAAGTAGTTCAACTAATTTGAGTCAGTTAGTGAGGGTAGTTATGAACATTTTAAAATCAAAAGTAACAGCGCAAAGGTATTACATGCATTTTATTCTCTTCGCAATTTTGAATTATGCAGAAAAGTTCAGACACGCAGAATAAAATGATATAGAACTGCCTGAAACTGCGATGGTTTTTAGTATTTTTAGGACAAAATAATTCAGCTAAGGAGGTCGATTGTAAATGTAGATATTATTATAAGTTATACAACGCGAAATCCTGTATAAATGAAAAAACCAAAAACCGTAGTTCAGAATCCTTCTTAACTTACATTTCGCAAAACTGAAGATAAAATTGCAAGGCAATTGACAGAATTTGGAACAATCATTCGATTCTCATCCAGTCAATAAGTGGTATCGTACTTGCCGAGAAACCTGAAGGTTTTGCCTTTGGTACGTCTCGGAATCGTGAGTGCATACTACTAACGAGTCTCAAGCAAGAGCCGAACAGATACCCAGTACTCCAAGGATTTTAGTAATTCTTTGGGTAATGTTGGTCTGTTATGAAAACCTGATAGATAATGAAAGCCTGATATTAGTTCAGTGCTATCAACATGCGAAAGAATTAAAGTAAGTGAAACTGAAGTCAGCTCAGTAATTCAAAACCAGAAGGTTAGTGGAATAAAACTCTATGTATTTAATGCGACAAAAACAATATGGATTTTCTGTGAAGTGTTCCGACAACTTCAAACTTATAACTGGCAAGACAAAAGCTATTGTAGTTGGTGTATTATTCCTTCCATAAATAATCCTTTTGATCCCACCATCGTTTCTCCTTTTTAAGCCCAGGAAGTCTAAACTTTCTGCTGGTCAGATATTCCATCGTATATTCAATGATGGGTTGATTCTTGGTGAACCTGCTAAACACTACAGATGTATAGTTCATGTCATCATGAGTAGATAATATGTGATTGTGGTTTCAGCAATAATATACCTGACAAATTATCTCGTGTTCTCATAATGAACAAAAGTGACTGAAGTAATACGCCTTAAATCAGGTTGACTCTTCTTGTATTTATATGCATAAAACGAAGATGAAAGTTTTTCGGAGACAATATACCGCAGGCAAGCTTTCAGATCATACTGAATATCTCTTTATGGAACATGCCTCTTGAGTAAGAAAACGAAGAGCAGAGGTAAGGCTCAATCAGCTTCAAAATGAACAAGCTGAAAGAGGCATATTTTAAGTTTTACTTATGTTGTTTCAGATGTGATGCAGCTTGCGGTGCTGACTCTAGGTCGCCAATCTTGTAACAGACGAGACCATATTCGTCATATAGATAATGATATACAATTAGAAAGTCTATATATACAGTCAGGAGACAGATCTATTACTTACTAAACTGCTTCGAATCTGAGCCAGCTGATTTTTGTTACTAATATAAAAGTAGTATTTAATGAAAAACAAGGTGATTATTGAAAAACTTGTAGCGGATGAAAAGTTGTTAATTATAAATCCTGATAAAGTGACAACAGTTCTTCATAATTGTGACGATACAAGCAGGGTGAATAATATATTGAATGATGAAATAAGATTTCAGAAAGATTTGAATAGAAAAATCGAAAAATAATCAAATAAACCTCTGAGGAGACAGGAAAAGAGACAGATTTTTCATGAAGCATGTATAATGTACTTACCAAGGTTGTATGAACCGCTAAAAATGCACAAACCAGAAATGCCGCAAATGATTGGTTAGTAGCCTACAACAGATAATGGAACAGTGATGAGGACGTATTAGAATTTGGAGGCAAAATGCTGACATCATGGATCCAACGTTGATATTGTTGGATGTAGCATTTCTATCCACATGTCACGCTTATAGAAACTGTCATGTACAAAAATAAACAGTTGAAGGACGAGTCTCTGAATGTTCGTTTTCCTTAAAGAATTGCTGCTCAAATGTACAATAACATTAACCTCTTCATTCGTCAACTGTATAGATGGGTAGATGGAATCAGAGTGGGCTGCTCACTGAGTTTCATATTAGCTGACAGTTTTCCGGCTTAACTAGAAAATGGTCTGCTTGACCAGTTTTTCAAAGAATTTCCATTTTAATACTTAGATAAAGATGATACGTTCATCCTTTTTGAAAAAAACTTCAACAGTTTCAAGATATTTAGGAAGTTGAAATTCAGTAGTCCGGATTTCTCTACTTCTGTGAATGCATGGTGTAGTGAAATCGCCATACAATACCATCGGTGATTATTTGTCCACATATGCAAACTGGTTGACCATATAAGTCAAGACGACTTACTAGGACTTCAGGAAATCCATCGTCAAGCATTTCACCAGTCCGTTTTATCCCCATACATTAGGAGAACCTGACCTGTTTTTGTAATCACGCTATCGCTGTTTTCCCAGTTTTAAATTCACACTTCACTACATTCCCCTTCTTTTTAAGATAAGCTTTACCCATAGAAATTCCATCATCGAAGTGAACAGCATCTATTTTAAGTCTCAACCAATTAGCTTCTGTATGGTTCAGAGACTTGGCGCGTTACGAAAGGGATTTCCAATAAACTACAGACATTCATCAACAACTGCCCCCTATGCTGGCTCCTTACTGAAGATCAGATGGCCAGAATAATCGGAATAAGCAACAAGGAGCCCTGGGAACGAACCAACCAAGAACCTATCACCCAACAAATATGTAGAAGGAAGTGGAGATGGATTGGGAATACACTGAGAAGGCCGACTGGGGACATCACGCACCATACCAGGCCAGGCCCTCGAGTGGAACCCAGATGGGAAGCGACGAGTTGGGTGTCCGAGTCTAGGGTGACATGGAGGAGATGGTGTGAGAAGGAAATGAGAGTTTGTGGGCTGTCGTGAAGCCAGGTTAAAAAGATTTCAGAGAACACATGTCACTGGAGACGTGCTACTGAAGCTCTATGTTCCATTAGGAACCCAAGGGACTAATAATAATAATAAATAGCTCTATGATATTCAACGTCGTTTTATTTGGATAGCAACTCTTTAAGATAAATTATTTGACCTTCTAGTGTTACGCAAGAAGTATAATCTTCCATATAGGTAAATTATTTGAAACCGAATTCCAGTAATCTTCGATTATGACATTGCCTTTCATACAAGTCTTTTCTGAAGAGAATCCCTTAACCGTTTAACACCTTTGTCTAACAGCTTTGAAAAATCTCCAGCTAAACAATATGGGTAGGTAGTTGTAGGTAATAAGGATAAAGTTACGAAAAAGAATATTCTTTTGTTCATCGAAATGTCTTGAAAAAAATTACTGTTCATAGCAGTTCTACGATTTCTTAGTGATCCACAACAATACCAAATGTATAACAGTTGAAAGTATGTTACAATAGCATTCCAATACAGACTTAGTAAGGAACTTCTTATGAATATATTGACTGACAAATCAACTTTAAGTAAACTACAAAACCGATAGGCTCATGTCTCCCGTTCATATGTTCTTAAACTGAAATCTATAAGTTTCACTTACCATTCTGACCTATGATATCAATGCTCAGTTCACTTTGTCACAAGTTTGCTCAATGGTTGACACAGTCTAGGTAGGTAATTCGTTAAAAGTTGATGACAGGCTGTTTAAAAGTTACATTTTAATTTTCTTATGACTCCAGATAATAGTAAGTTTGCATGATTCTGTGAGACAGGGTAATCGGAGAATTCTGCGTTTCATCCATTATTCAATTTATTTAAACATTTTCAAGTCCATTTTGCTTGGACTTTTCATAACTTTAATTTTGAAACTACAGTGAATGAAATCCAGGGTTTGGTTTCACTACTTTTCAACTGAATTCAAATTACCTACAATTAAATGATAATGAATTTTAGTTTCACTTACTTTACATGTTACTTTAAGTGAAATCTATACTTCTCATAAGATTGGCAGTTCTTGTTTTAATTCCTTTAATGACTTTACTGAACCATGTGATTTGGTAAGAAATCATTAGAAGTATCTCTGAAAGATTAAAAAAAATTAAATTAAATCTTTCAAATCACATTATCATGTGAAGCTAAACAATGAGTAATAGTATATTGACAGTTTACACATATACATTACATTATCTCCTACGCTGAAATACAACTACACAATTTGTTACAGTTATAACTAACGAAAGACTTTTGAGTACCCACCAGCTGTTACTTCTTTGAGTGTAGATTATTAGTGGTAGCAACAAAATATGTATGATGGTTTCTATACTTAGGTTTTCAGTTTCAAATAGAATGTGTCCAATGCTTAAATAAATTAAT